ATCGCTCTTCTTGGAATCAAAAATATTTAAGTAGATTTTACGGTAGATTAATAATGGAAGATATATTTTATAGAAACAAAAATTGAGTTGCTATAAAATGTAAAATTATTGTTGCTTTTTTTTTTGTTTAATATTATGGAAATAAATTTAAAATTTAAAAGATAAAACATGTTTGATCATTTTATTTTTTTTTAGGAATAATACCATGTTTAAATTGAAAAATGGTTATACTGAAATAAATGTTGATGAAGAGGATATTATACCTGAGAATATGAATTATAATAAACTTCCAAGATCTTGTGCATCTACTAATGAACTTTTTTTGAATGATTTACATGGTCCTGATCATGAACATAGATACACCGATGAACGTGAACAAATAAACAAAAATAAAAACTTAAATGATGAAAGTTTTGATTTTGAATTTCCAAAAATTAGAATTACAAGAAGTCAAAGTAAAAAAATAAAAGTAAGTTATTTAAATTCACATTTAATTTTTTACATTTTAATTTGCATGCAGTAAATGTATTATTTTATTTTAGAAGGTACAAAAAATAAAACTTGATCTTGTACTGTTTGGTACTGTTAAGTATGTTATTGCTGCATATTATTTTCAAATAATAAATTACAGTTACCTACTGTAATTTGAATATAAAAATAACTTAGAGTTTAAGAATATCATTAAACTGCTTTCATTTTTAAATAAAAAGTTTAGTGTATTATATTATTTATTTAAACCTTTAAGAAACAAGCACCCATAATATTTCTTGCACATTTGTAAAGAAGTTGTACATTTTAATCATTTATATACATGACAAATGTATTTATATATCTATATTTTTTAATAATTTTCCTGATATAAATTGGCACTATTGTGGTGGTTAAGTAGATTGTATGTGTACGGCCTGAAGTGAGTACAAGTAAAATTAAATATATATGTAATAAATCATTAGGTATGCCTTAATTCTACATTTCTTAGTTACCTGAATATTATATTTATTAAAATATTACTAGGTATGCAAATAATATTAAATTATTGTTATTGTAAAATAAAATTGTGCCAATTGGTTTTATTTATTAAATTAATGAGTCCATAATATAATTATTTAGAACTACATAATAACAACTGTTATCTATCACTGATTACTTTATTAATTTTAAGATAATCTGTTTATTTCTCCAAGTAATATCTAAAACTATGACATTCATGCATGATGGTTAATAGATTATATCTGGTTTTAGTCATGTGTACATAAAATAATGTCAAAAAAAATTTTTAAAAAAAATGTTGTTGTCAACCTCAAAGAATCAGTGCAATATTAGTGAATTGTCCATCCCATTTTCGAATAATATTAAATAACTATTAAAACTGAAATATTAAACAATAATGAAGTAAAAGCCCATGTATGCTTTCTTTAGTGGGCTAAGTATCTAAATTGCTTCATAAATACTTGATGTGCAATTTACCAATAGCTATATATATTTCCAATATAATGTCCACTCCTTATGTTTAGTTTTAGTTAACTATTTTACTATCTTGAATAAAGAAAAATCTATTATTAATTTTTAACATATTATGTCCATTACAAAATAAATATCATGTCTTTAAGTAACAATCATTTAAACATAAGAAAAATGTTATTAAGTCATAATAAAAAAAAATGTAAGACACTTCTTAATTATACCATAAAATTAATTAATAATAATTCTTATTTATATTCTTATTTAAATTCACTATAAGCTTTACACAATAAAGATATAAAAAATTTTAAATTTTAATTGTTGGTCATAATCATAAAAAACAATTCTGATGTTAAAATAAATGGGTGTTTATTTTTTCATATATTATAAAAATAATTAATTAGCACTAAACTGTTTTGTAATTTGTCTATACTAATTTATATATTTTATTGATCTTAACCAAAAACTTTTTTTTTAGATTGACATGAATAATGTGAAAAATGACATAACAAAGAATAGTATAAGGTGTTCTTCTTTCAATGACGAGATCAAAACTTTTAACCAGCCTCATAAAGAAATATTTCCCACAGAACAAAACTTGACTGTCAGTAAGAAGAAGAAAAATCATGGACAAAGGAATGAATGTACTTTGTTTGCAAATAAAGATAATGGAAATAATTCATCAACTACCAACACAAACAAAAAAATAAATAATAAGACTATTAATAATCGCAAGGCAAAAAATGCTTTGGCTATTAATATAAACAAAGATAATAATATTATAAATAATATTAATATAAATAAAGATGAAAATATTTTGACTGGTAGTGAAAGCAAAAATATATATGTTTTGACTAGAAATAATTATAAAACAAAAAATACTATAACTACTAATCCATTCACATGCAAAAGAACTTTGAACAAAAAAACAAAAAAACAAACAAAAAAAAATAAGACTACAAATAAACAAAAAGAAAAAAGTGCATTAATCACAAATGATCAAAATAATTTAATGTCTTCTAAACTAAATAAAAACACTTTGAAACTTACAAATCAAAATGCACTTGAAACGAAAAGTAATTCCATAATTTTAACACCTACAAGTACAAGTTCAACTGAAAGCTGTGTGAACAAGTTAATTGGTATTAAGGATGATACTAGTAATAATTGCAACAATAGCGATAATGATGATACAGACCATCACAATGAAGACTTTAATAATGTGGTCAATGATGTTAATATGGTGCATGATAATATGATACAGGATTATTATTGTAAAGACAATTGGCCAACATGTTTAGACAAATTGGCTGATCCTTTGAAAGGACAAGAGGTAATACAGTTTTTTTTTACATTGAAAACATATTTAATTGTAATAATACTAATTAATATTGTAGGAGCTAGAAAGTATTTTACTTAGCAAAGCGTTTGATCTAATTATACGTCTACATACTGATACTGAAGTTAATATTCAGATACTAAAAAATCGTATAAATGATTGGAAATTGAAGTGTGCATTTTTGAAATTTCAAATGAAAAATTTTATAGAAAGTACAAAATGTGATAGAAATACTAGACATTTTAGTATTGAAAATCAAAATCAAATGGTAAATTTCAACATTACTTATTTACATGTTTATAAAAATAATATTATTAATATCTATATTTCAGTCCAGATTCTTTCCACTGCTTGAGCTTTCTCTGTCTCGCATAAATTAAAGATCAAATGATTTTATCCAATTGTTTTGCACTTACTATTTTTCTATTCCTATTATTTCCTATCAATGTTGGATGCTTATAATATATGTGTATGTGTGAATAAACCGATAGGCACTTTTATAACAATAGTAAAGTTGTTTTTAGGTGTATCAATTTCCCTTAATCTCCTATGAATGGTAAAATGGGGTTTTATCGACTCCGCCGTTTTAATATCAATTCCGCCGGCTATCGATCCGCCGGATTTTTGTTTATATTGATTCCGCCGACTATCGATTCCGCCAGTTATTTATTTATGTTGATTCCGCCGACTGTTTATTAAACAATAACCAGAGTATCATATTATACAGAATTTTTTTTTAATTAACAGCATAGGTTAGGGTACACTTAGTATAAAGTATAAGATAATAGTATAATATAAGACCATGAATTATGATCGATAAGACTTGTACTTACTTTTATTGTATGTAGCCATGCAGGTCCTAGTACCTACATGTAATAAAATATGTCAGTTTTCATAAACCTTTTATAGATTATATTGATTAAGATATAAAAACCGTTGCCGTTGCGATAATACGCGATTTCCGCTGGAATAAATATAGCTGTGTACGTATAATATTATGTTATAGATACAGTTGAACAGTTTAAAGTTCAACTTATATGTTCATTGTTCGTGTATTATTCTACTTCAACTTTTTTTGTTACGAGTTAACTACAAATTACAGTAAGATATAGTGTGTACCTACTAATGAAATAAAATATATTTTAACATAAATGTAAACATAAGGCTTTTACATGTTGTTATTACTGTATGATGTAAAAAATTCGGCGGAATCAATATGTAAAAAAGTTCGGCGGAGTCGATAGCCGGCGGAATCGATATGTAAAAAAGTTCGGCGGAGTTGATACGCGGCGCAATCGATAGATTTTTTACAGGTAAAAAGGTAATTTCGATATAAGCCCTGGTAAAATATCCGGACCATAGGCTGACAACTGTTTTTGGACAAAAATTCAGAGTCCATAACCAAAACATTACAAAATGTGTCCACTGTTATGTTCCTACTTATATTTAAGAAAATAATAATTTTTATATTATTTTATTAAAATGATTTATTGTACTATTTATAGTGGATAATGATAAAATGATCGATATAATTCTACTAGCTAATTATTCTTTTAAATTTAATGCCATACTTAAAATTGTCTTCATTATGTTATAGGATACAACATTATGTAAAAATATTGAAGTTGGAGAGAATAAAAACAATGCGGGTACAAACAAAAAAGGTAAATGAAACTATCTTGCATAAAAATAACTCACACCTACATTAGGCTGGTCCTTATTTTTTAACTTTCAAAATTTCGAGTCAGGTACCCGCCATTTTGTTCATTACAATGAGTAAGTTATTTAGGCTGAATTTGGTTATAATGACTCACCCCCTTCCCGTGCCTCAAGTGGGTTGAAAATTTGCCATAGAGGGTAGTTTTATAGTGTTTTTTTAATTTAACTCAAAAACTATGGTACTTAGCGGAAAATGTATGGAAGGTTAATTATATATTTTAGTATTCCTCATAAAAAATGTATTTACAAAATTGGTCGTAAGTCTGTTATTTTCCAAGAAAAATAGTTAAGTACGAAATATTTTATTTATTTTGCAAAATAGATTTTTTACATTTATTCAAAAAAAATTGTAAAAATACAATAAAATTTCTTTAAAAATCGAACAAAATTTAATTCCTTGAAAAAAATGTAATTTATAATAACTAAATTTTTGTAAATTAGGCAAATTATATAGAATAGTTATTATAAAATTGTATTTTAATTATCCCATTTTATTATAAGTTTGTTTTAAAACTTCTCGGCTGAATTCCGGGTATTGCTTCCTATAATCTTGAACAATCTAAAATAATAAATAATACATTTTAATAAATTCCTAATTATTCCACGAGAAAAAAAAATAAAAATTACCCGTAACACGTATTGTTTCTGTTCCTCTTGTTTCGTAAATTTGTCGTTGAAATCCTCCATCAAATTCACACCTATTTCTGCACTATCATTGACAACTTTTAATGTTGCTATAATATCCTTTGCTTCTTTATATTCGGTGGTTATTTTCCATAAATGTGGATCCTTATGTAAAAAGTCCGAAGATATACGAAATCTTTGAATAAACTGTATCGATTTATTTGATATTAATTCAAATGGAAGATCTTTACATACAAAATGTCGAACGTCATCGAATTGTAAAACAATTTTTTCTGGAGTCTTTTTCTTGTTGGCCAGCATTGATTTCTTCTTCGTTTATTTCCAATATCCATTTTGTCATTTTAGATTTAGTATTATAATTATTAATTAATGCGATTATCAAATAAAGAAAATACTGCACATTCATCGTTTAAGTACCACAAATTGGTACATTGCATAAAAATACCTCACACTTACGTCCTACATAGGATGTGAGAAAACAAAAAAAAAAAATAATTGATCAGTTTTTTGCTCCAATTTCTACAGACTTAAAAAACAATATTACACCAGAAAACTCTGATAATATTCTAACACTTTCAGGTTCATCACTGAGGGCAACAACTCCATTGGACAGTCATAATACTTTGGACATGCTTGTTCGACCAAAAGTAGAGGTACTTACAATTGATAAGGATGCACAACTTTCGACATTAAAATTAAATAGAATAAAAAGCTCTGTTTGGAAGAGCCCTATAAGCCTATCGTTACTTCCGAAAAATGATCCAAACATGTCATTATATGAACGTGTTATTTTGCCAGTTGCCATAAAACCAAAATTTAAGATATCCAATGGTAAATAAGCGTACAAAACTGACTGATACAATTATAGAACTGGACTAAGAAATACATTAATTAATACACTCGCCAATGTAAGTAATTTCTATTTTTATTACTAAAATATGCATTTATTTTGATGTTTGTATTCAATAGATTCAAATGAAAGCACTATTACCTGATGTTGTTACTTTATTATGAAAGCACTCATATAATGAATAATATAAACTATCAGGAGACTGAGTATTCAATCAAATTATTCACTTAATCTACATACAGAACCACATCAATCAAATCTGTACCCACAGCTATTTGATTAATACCTTCAGAAATAATCTATGATTATTCAGACGGGGTGTAAATTATTTGTATTAATATAATATTTATTTAAAATATTATAGGTAGGTATATAAATAAACTTTTTTAAAACATCAATTTTATTTTGTATCAATAATTAATTTAAAAATGAATCAATTATTAAATTGTTTCTTTTATTCTATTTTATTTTTGGAATTAATGTTTCAACGTTCAAACAATTAATTAACAATTAAATTAAAATGTTCAGTATTTATATTATAGTGTTTTTATAGCAGCCAAAATGATTATTAAATAAAATCTTATAGACTAAAATTGAGTTCGATTTGTTTCTGAACTGTTTACACACATTTTCAATTTCAATTTTTTTTAGTTATTTTTTGTATAAATGTTAATAACATTTTATTTGTTGTGTAAAAAAGATTAAAAATGTAGGATCCTATTAATATATTATTACAATGATATTTGACAAATAATACAAATCCTTTTTTACCTTGAAAACATATTTAATAATAATACTAATTAATGTTGTTGGTGCTAAGAAGTATCTTATTTAACAAAGTGTATGATCGAGTGATAGACCTACTGAAACTAAATTTAATATTCAGATAATGAAAAATCGTAACAATCATTGGAAATTAAAGTGTGAATCATTGGAATTTAAAATGAAAACATTTATAGAAAGTATAAAAACTTTTTTTACTAATTAATTTTAATACTCCGATTTCTCACTGCCTCATTTTATTTATAAGTATGAGAAAGTAAGATTGGTTAAATTTGGTCATGATTACTCACCCCTTCATGTTCCCCAATGGGGCAGAAAAATTGCAAAATAGGGTTTTTTGTCGTTTTTTGAATATTATAAAAAAAAGTATAGCACTTATCTAAAAAATACATAAAACTTAAATTATAGATATTTATATTCTTAATATTAAACATGATTACAAAATGTCTTATAAATCTATAATTTTCTAAGAAAAATAATACAATACCAAATATTTCCAAACATTTTTTTTATTTTACCAAATTAATTTTATTATGGTTATTTAATAGTTCTTGGACTTGGTGCTTTTTACAATATGGAAGCCATTGAATATATATCATAATACTATAGTTAGTTAATTAGTTAGTATAGTAATCTAAATACTGCATTGCTGTATACAGAAATGTATACATATATTTTTTAAAAAAACTCTATATCGGTACATTCAGTGCTCGAATTGGGGGGTACGCAGCGGGACGGACCTCCCCTACTATTTTTTGTATGGTCTGTGTTGAATAATTGGAACTCAGTTTTTAAATCGTTGGATTGAGCTCCTCTACTTAATTTTTCCCAATTCGAGCACTGGGTAGTGGGTACATTAGATATATGTAATTGCCCATTGGGTATAGATATTCATAATGTATTTGATAGACATAATATAAGTTTTGATATAAATTAGGTATTTGTTTTTGGATATTCAAGAATTAAAGGTTAAACGATATTCATAACATATCCATACTATGTGTTGACATGTTTTTTATACCTAACGGCTAACCTATTTATGATGATATAAATTAGATACATATTTATATTTTGATATTTATCAGATAAACCAAGTTGGTTCTAAAGACATTTATATGATATAGTTGTGTAGGGAAGTTAGTAAAGATATTATGTAGATATTAACATAAAACTAAAAATATCCCAATGATATTTATTTAATATGTTTCTACTATATCGGTTACCTACCGGTGACCGTATTAATAATAACAATAGATTTAAATATAATATAAAATACCCTAGGCTGACCACTCAGAAACATTTATCGTATATAATTATATTATAAATTATAATATCATTGAATTCAAATTTAACACCATCAATTACAGTGACCCACTGACCATTTTTAACCTACTGAATATTAGCGACATCCACTTACCCGCTTTTTTGTTATGACCTGTAACTTTTCGCAAATTGTATTGTTTACAATACACAACACAATTTTTATTTAGTCGGATTAATTTTTAGTTGTTTTTTATATCACGAACATATTAATATTAGTGCACTGTTCTACGCTACACCGGTGTTGATTAAGTTATTCATATTATATGAAATAATATAATAATTGTTAGGTATATTATAATATGGAATTTTTTATTGGTAAAAAATAATTCAGATTTAAGATTACCAGCTATCTATTACAAATAGATAATTCAATTTTTTTAGTATAATTTATTTATTAAATGATCTCGAAATGTATATGTATTACAATTTACATTATTTAATATGGTCAAAGTACTTATATGTATGATACAAAACAATACAATTTTATATTATGACGAATAATTGCATGTCGGCCGTTATGGGCATCTAAGTTACGGTTCTACTTGAGATATGTCCCGGGCCAAACGAGATACGACCATCGACGAATTTGCTGAGACTTCCAGCGCGATTTTCAGAGCTGACTCGATGGCGTTGTCCATTGCGACCGCGGTTGCCCAGCTGTCCGCCCCGACCGCTTCCAACGGTGATCCGAGCTCCGCGTCGGCAGACGTCACACCTGCCTCGGACATCACACTTGCCGCAGATTCCCCCGACATTAGAGCTTCCAACTGCATTTGGTTCCGCCCGTAAAAACCGGCTGCAAAACCCCTGTCGTACATGTGGCTCAGTCCCGGATTGGACCGGATAAATTCCAGTGAGCAAGTGCGCAACTGGTCCAACCACGAGCTATTGTCTCTGCCGGCTTGGTTGGAACCGTTGTGGTCCCCGTTGTTCTCGGCGTCCATTACTGTTTCCTGCTGTTCGTCCGAATTAGGTTTCATGTTATAAATATCTGCAGGTTATTCTGAAAATATTAAATATGCATTACAAATCGGTAATAAACTAATAAATAGGTACCTATATAATACGACATTAATTATCAATGAAAACGCTTGACACAATAAGGTAGGTAGGTAGGTAGGTACACATTTTTTTTTAAAACTATTAGCTCTATTAGATACTCTGATAACTAAATTTGTTAATAAAATTTCAGCCTATCATTTGTTTTCTCTCTCTGACCCACGTGCAACATACATTTTTGTATATTGCGCTCGGGCCAGAGTGAGAAAACAAATAGTTTGCTTGTATCAGGCATATCAAACTCAAAGTATAACTCAATATAATATTAACATTTTATAAAAATGTATTAATTTATTCATTACTTACAATACCTACTAAATAAACAATACTTCTTAATCAATTACAGTTATCAGAAAATAACACAGAAAAGTAACATTATACCTACCATAGTTGTGACACAAAAGGAAAGTGGTATATAATTTTTGTTTAATGAATTTTGCATTTTTTCATTAATATCCACGGGACATACAAAAACGATCCGCAGCCGCGTGTTTTACATTTCCTTTAATTAATTAATTAATTCCATGTAGGTAATGGCTTACATCCTATTAAGTACCTACGTTTTATAAACGATTCGATTTTAAATATACCTGTGTGACTATATAATAGGTAATCTTATTCCCACTAAAATCTGAATAATATACGGTACTTACAGTCGTTGCCAGATAAATTGAGCCGGCGGCGGCGGCGGCGGCGGCGCGATAACGGAAAACCAGTGGTTCTCCGTGTTTCAATACTATTACCGAAAATACATCAATAAACCAACAATTGTTACAAAAATTATTTTACGATATTAATTTAAAATCCAATATTCTGATAATAATCTTTTAACAAAAAGCAGACATTTTAAAATAATATAATAATAATAATAATAAATAATATAAATAATATGATAAAATAATAACAACAACTATAAATTATACATTATAATATTATAAATTATAGTTTTAATATACATAACAATAGTTTGTTATGGCTGTTTTTTGTTGATGACCCGCCGCGCCGTGCGGTCGAAACACACCGTGTTAGGTTAGTTGTTTTTAGCAGTGTACTGCAGCCAGAACGATGGCATGGGAGAGAGAGTACAAAAAATGTTGCAAAAAATTGTTTGCACTGAGCCGGGTTCGAACTGGTGACTGCGCGCGTCGTAGCCAACTGTGTGACCTATGCACCACACTGCCAGCGACTAGTTTGGGCTACAATTACTGAAAAGCGCCGCCGCCGCCGGCTCAATTTATCTGGCAACGACTGTACTACCTACCTACATATTATTGTTCGCATATGTATTGTATCTATATACACGTATTTATCTGCACATTGCACATTTTCAAACGTAGGTAGGATCAGTGGAGTACATAGAAATAATTTGTGGGGTGGGCTAGAGTAGACAGAAACTAGCAAGTGATCTATTACTTAGAGGCTACCGTCTACTATATATTTAACAGTTTGTATAAAATATATTAGTATTAGTTTTTTTCAACAGGCTATGCAATATTATAACTTATAATAGTACCTAATAAAATATATTGTTGTTCTATTTAAAAATTTCGGAGGGGAGGGGATGCAGCCCACTGTGCCCACCCCTTATATACGCCACTGGGTAGGAGGTACCTACCTACCTATAAAATATTAAATAAGTATCTATGAGTTGTACTTACTAGTTGAAATCCAATCAAAGCCGTGATCCTAGTGACGCGTAGTTCCAGTCTGACTTAAAAACTCACAATAATTACAACGTTTTAATACCTAGCAATAATATATACCTGCACAAGCGGTAGAATGGAATAACTTAAAAACACGCAGCTCGCTTTAGTAGGACATTCGACTGTTGAGTGGTGAAATATAATACCGAATGGAAAGTGAGGTTAGAGAGCGACCTTTGACCAGTCGAGATCGAATACGGTCGAACGTATGTTACACAGCAGTGTGGGTGCGAGAATAAAAAACTGGTATGGCCTATTATACTATAAAAGTACAGTATTTTTTATGACATTCCTACCGACCCTGCCTACAGCATACCTCGTAGATACCTCCGATTGTTACCGATTTCTACTTAAACGTAGCGTCCTACCCACTATGGTACTTGTTTTGTTATAATATCGTGGCTACTGATATTATAGTAGATACATCGATACATGTACCTACCATTAAAATTGTCATGTTTTTAGCAAGTGGTGTAGGTAAGTGCGTACAGCCTTAGATCTTAAACGAATCATAGACCTATATAAAATAATGGAGTGCGTACCTATATCATTTTATTAAATAGGTACCTATCCCATTAGAGTATTTTGTTGAATCAATGATATAATATTATGTGCGAGAGAGTAGTACGTTTTGAAAATTAATTTAAAAGGAAGCTACACGCGTATTTGTTGTCTTCGTCTTAAAAATGTAAAACGTAGCAAAAACTACTATGAAAGAACCGACATGGCTATAGTACATTCGTAACTATGAAGCTAAATGTTCACCACATAAAAAGGAGAATATTGGCTGAGAAATATCGTTTTTATTTGTTCGTTATCGAAATCGATGTGCTCTGAACCATGACAAATTAAATAGGTATGTCAGTTTTAAAACAACCTCCCTCCACCCAGCCTTATACGGTGACGTAAGCATTTCTCCGTTTCTAATTAGTAATTGGTCCACCGCCGTCGCTCAAGCCACCGTCTTAAGAGGATGTCAGCGCACTATTTGTTTTCTCTCTCTGGCCCACGAGCAACATAGACAAAACGCATTAACACAGAATCATTTTTTCTATGTTTTTAAGTAATCTTAGAGTAAAATCACCCATTATGAAAAAGATAGAGAATAATATTTTTGAGGGAATAGCATATCGATTTTATATTTTATTGTTATTTGACTTTGTATTCGACTTTCAAAACAAACAAAAATATTTTTAAAATTTAAATTATGTTTGAATTGTTTTGAGACAATATTTAGACAAATCGATATGTCATTCCCTCAAAAATGTTATTCTCTATCTTTTTCCTTATAGGTTATTTTACTCTGAGATTACTCAAAAACCTAGGAAAAATGAGTCTTCGTAAATGCGTTTTGTCCATGTTACGCGTGGGCCAGAGAGAGAAAACAAATAGTGCGCTGACATCCTCTTAACCATTTGGATAAATGCTTACCTGACAGTCGACAGACATGCACATCACGAGCTGCTGACATTGGTATTTCATTTGTCATGCTCTGAACTATATTGTATATTATCAATTTGAAGTCACTGCAGCCTGAGTGGTTGTATCCCGCGTAAAATAGTTTTTTCTATGTTGTATATTAGTAAGACGGAGACAGCATCTGCGGATGTAGCGTCCTCGTAACTCGTAAGTCTCAACTCTGTTGTTTTATATTACAGTGAATTAACATCTAATAAAATTTAGAAATACCAATTTATCTTTAAAAGAATCTCATAGGTATTTATATTTTAGTTTTAAAATATGTACATATGTTGGCTTCAATGTATTATAGGTACTTATAATTAGGTACTAACAGCTATAATTCCTGGTATATTATAGGTACGTATATGGTAAATTGTACACCCTATGAGGCAACTGGAAAATGTTACCATGAAATATTGATTTTTTTTATTAAATACTGATTTTTTATCAAATATATATTTTATCATTTTTTGTCATGCATTTGTAAATTTTGTCATGTGAATTTTGGCGATAGTCGTGCAAAGTCATGCTAATTACATGCTAATTTCCTGTAAAAAAAAAAAATGAAAAATTTTTGAATGGATGGTGCTGGCGAGACGGTCGTAACTCCAGCCCGGCTCAGTACAAAAAAGCAAAAATTCCTGTGCCTGACCCAAATATAATATTATAAATCCAATACAACGTATTTTTTTTTAAGTCCTGTCCAGTCCTCAACAAAACGTGGAATAAAGTCCAAGCCAGTAACGAAAAAATATAACATTGTAATCAATTTTCAAAGTTTAGCATCGAGAATGAACATTTTTGAAAGTATTTTATGAGCTATAGATGGTTTATAAAACACTGAAATTGTAAATTAAGAATTATGTCAAAATAGTTGAGTTATCGTTTAATTATTTAATTTTGTCAAAATTTGAACTCAATATAGCATTTTTAGATACTTTTAAAATGTTTAAATAACATTTTATTTTACCTTATAAATAACTGAACAGAGATTTTTATAGCATTTGCAATTTAATAGAATTAAACATAAAATAATATTTAAACTAAAACAGAACTTTTTTTGAAATCTAGTAATTTATTTTAATTAGGATAATTGTGTTAAAATTATTATTTTTAATATTTTTAATACTTTGTCCAAACACTATTTTTTCGTATTATTTAGGTACTTAAAAATTATTTTAATACTTTTACTCAAGAACTAAAAAATATTAGTTTTAGGTCTCACTGGGATAATGTTAACGAAGAATTGTTTCAATATATTTAATTAGTGTTCAAAGTCTGAATTATTTCACAAAAAAGTGAAACATTGAAATTTTTATAGTATAGTTAAAGCCCACATTTGGGGGTACTTATATTTTTTCACAACACTTAAGAAGTATCCAGTGACGTTATCAACTTTGGATTTTCAAATAAGAACCCCTATTTTTTTTTAATTATACAATTGGGAGCAAGTACAATTTTATAAAAATATACATTCATTATTTGATAGTATTAGAAAAAATCATTTATGCAAAGAAAAACTAAGTTGTTTTTACAATACTCTAATATTTTACTATAGTAATTATAACTATAGATACTATAAGATTTTTATTTTTGAAAGGTATATAATTTTTAGATTCTGAGTAGAACGATGAATGTATTGATTTTACAATGATGTGTGTTTTTTTTTTTTTTTTACTTTTTTTGTGTCTTTATACACGATAAGTAATCGCAATAATGCTTCGATTTTCAACTTCAGTATCTTGTTCGATTGGGAA